GGATAAAGCTTTTCTCACAACTCCTTTAAAGTAAAGATATTTTATTTACTACTGTTTTTTATTCAATTTAAAACCATCTTATTCGAACAAAAACATTAATTTCTTAGCAGGTTTATTAAAAAAGATATACCGAAGCAGATACTTTTGCAAAGGTAGGGGTTTTTAACCCTAGCAGAGTACGCTAAATACTTTCCACTCAAAAATATTTTTTCAGAGCAATATTAAAAATATAAAAATGAAAACAATAAATAAATACGTGTTTAGCATAAGATACCCCTGAAAAAGTAATGAAATTTAAAGAATATCTCATATCAGAACAAATCGGTTGAAAGGAGGCTACTTGTATAGTTTTCTGATTCCGATGGTTTTCAGTCTCAATATTTGTTTAAATTTACATGCAAATCCCACGCTCTTATATGCTTTTCGACCCGAAATCTCAAATCTGAAATATGGGTCGTATGTACTTATGTTGTATTGGCCGTCTCCGGAAGACATTATAAAAACGCATTTGGGCACCAAGTTCGGGATAAGGGATTAGTTTGCGTTCAAACCTCTCTCTTCTGCAAAGTTAATATATCGTTTAATGCTATTTTCCCCATACCCATGCGAAGACACTCTACTCTTCACTCCAGTGCGTTTTCATTGATTTAAGGAAATTTATTGTCGCAAATGCTGCGCAAACGTACATCTGTATATTTATAAATACTAGTTGTTCATGATTTACAATAATAAAATATCCATTAAATCTGTTATTTATATTCATGCATGAATGGATGTATGTAAATAAGCACATGTGATACAGAGATAAGGAAAAAAATATATATAATTATGTATCACCACAGCGTAAACATGCATACGTGTATGTATTCCTGTATGTGAAAATTAATTCTTGGATTTACCCACCACAAACATTGAGCATTGTTCTAAATGCGGTTTTTTGTGACAATCGAATATTGGACATTTTAATAACAGCCGCACTGTCAAAAACCACAACGAATTATTATAACTAAAGAGACATCACATGACAAACCTACATATATTGTTCTTTTTTTTCATAATTTTAATGGCATCGCTATTACCCCAATTTTGTGTGAAAATATTGCTTGCTGCGAATGTATGTAGATATATGTTTGTACGAGTATATACATAAATAAATACGAATCACGCACGTAAAAAAACAGCAATAACTTAAAATTAAGTATGTAGATATTTATTATTCTCTTAGCCCATTAAGGGACAAATTCGATTTTAGTGATTTGAGCGGTTATTTCATGGTCTCATATATTTTTTCCAGCTCAATTTTAGGGTAGTGCGTGTCATTTGCAAGCGAGGTGTAAATAATTCAAGATAATTTTAAACTTGAACTTTTTTTAACAGAGTTTTCTATGGAAAAGGGCAAGCTTCAAAACATATTACACAGAATTACCGCAGAGTCATCAGCGTAAGGGCATGACTTCTTCTCGAACTTCCTCCAAAAGGAGATCGGATTAATAGCGATAGCAGTAAAATATGTTATGGAAATATGTTAAATCTCCCTATTAATCAGACCAAAAAAGGGGATTTCTTGTAAAATCTTTGAATGAGCTGCTGATAAAAATTTTACCAAAAAGTTGATAGATAATAAAAATGCGAATGACTAACAATTGTAATTTGTATACAAAAACTTCCCAAATACATTTGTCCATAATCTCTCACTAACTCGGCATTTATGCAAATTGATTTTGTACTTTGAAATAAATTTCGTTATTTATTGATATTTTATTAGTATTTTCTCATAATAAACTCGTTTATACATACATATATATATACATATATATATACAAATGCACGTTCACAGATTAAACGAACGATGTCAGACACCTCAAGCTAACAGTCAAATGAATAAAAATAATCAGCACAGGTCACATTGATGTACTCGGGCGTAAATAAAGTCAGATGTGGAAAAATACATTGACATTAGAAATTGTTACCAAAACTTATTCAAAATAAACACAGAAGATTTATAATCAAAATTTGAACTAATTTGGACCCTTATAATTGGTTACTGTTAGTTACCATAGGCAACCTTCATTTAACAATTTAATTATTATTATTATTATTATGCTAGATGCTCTTTTAGAAATAGGAAATTTATTTAAGAAAAGCAAGCCCATGACTTATTGCCTTAAAGATATCTCACCTTTTCAATGCTCTCCTAAGACCACTAAGCAATGTGTCAGTTGGTTTGCTGGTTAAAGGTCTTCTAAATTATTGATAAGTACAAAAACAAATAAATATTTAAATAAATCCAGAAAATAGTATGTCATAAAATAAGCTGTTTAGACATAAATAACTTATGAAAAGTGTAAAACAAATAGAATATTTAGCTAATCTGGAATTCACATATCAATGATTTAACAATCCTTCACCTAGATCTGACCCTTTGTGGGAGGTAGGGAGAAAACTTGATATTTTATTGACAACTTAATTTCAAATAGAAATACTATGTTGGCCAGTGTTGTTATTATATCTATTTCGCTGGCTCGAAATGAAAATAAACAGTTATCTATTATAATTGGAGAATATCACAAGTTGGCGTAGATGTGTTTACGTTTTTATAATATCGGATTGGTTGTCAATTTAAAGCCAACTGGTTATTTTTCAGCTCAAAGTCTCCATATGATAATTATTTTTGAAGATTAATAATTACGATATTAATCAAATTTATAATGGACTTGTCTATGTATTTAAGTCTCAAATGTTTTCTTAATACTTTCGATAATCATATTCCATAACACCGTAAAGGCAAAATGGTTCCAGAATGAAAACATATTTATTAGTGGGGAATGAAAAAAAATAAGTTAATATTACTACTAGAGTAAACTGAGAAATGAATGAGAGTTAATTAAGCGTGCTATGCTATAAAACAATTTATATTAATTTATGTGATATAACTCATCATAAATAAAAAATAAAATTAAAATAAAAAATAAAATAAAAACAAAAAAGAAGAGCTGCCTGCGACGGAGCCTTCCATTACAATATCAAATTTATAGTATTTCATTTTAGGAGGAAATATTAATTCTCATATCTAAAAAATTGCTCACACTTCGTTGATTTTAAGAATTTTTTTGTAAAACGTGTGTAGAAACCAAAATTCACACTCTTAGACGATTTTTGCTCCAAAGTGATCATATCGATATCTATCTCTCCTCTTTCTGGACCAAAGTTAATGTACCATTTTTAAAAATATGTTATATATAGAAGAGCAATTGGGGGTTAGATTTATCATAAAACATAATAACAGTAAAACATAATATAGGCATGTGTATGCAGATATCCAATACCGTTCGTAATTTTTCCACTTCAAAATTAATCAATTAACAAAAAATCACAATCAAAAATTATAATTTCTTTGGTTACATACTTACTTACTAAATTGGGGGAGTGCAGTGGCGTATTTGCAAAAAATAAAAATATATGTATGTTCTGCCAATAACATTTTTCTGAGCCTAGTGACTAAAAGTGAAATGCTAAATATCTCATTCGCGACGACATTCGCTCGCACAGCAGCTCAATCGTCACAGAGATGCTACAACGCTGTATTATCATTTTGTAGAAACAGGTATAAACACCTATGTATGTAACAGTATGAGCATTTATCTATACATGTACGTATGTACGGGATTGTATGTTAAACAGCACGAAACAAAAACAAATTGGCAAAACATAAACAATCAATAACTCAAATGAGAAATTGAATCTACCGATGTTAACTGAAATATATGTACCCTACACGGCGTATACTTTTCTCATACATATGTACAAATATAAATATAACGTGGTAATATTTATTTGTCTTACTATTATGTACCATTTGAATTAAAATGGGTAGATTCTTGAAATTGCAAATCTTAACTAATAATTTTTCGTACCAAAAGTCGGAATTATTGCAGACGAGAATAATAAATATATATATAAATATTAAACGAATTTCAATAATTATAAATTTGTTTTGCATAAATTGAATTTTAAAATTATTCTTAAAACTTTTCGGTTCAATTAGCATTTGTTTCATAATTTAGATTAAAAAAAACTCTTTTTACCATTCATGAATAATGCAATATAATTTTGGTTAGTCAAAAATATTGACTTATTTATTGTAAATTTTTACTTCGCATTTGTGTTATAATTTTATATAATTTTAATGTTAATTTAGTTTTTCCAAATCCACTTTTCACTTGTATGAGCATATTAGATGCATCTTCCTATATATGTATGGAGTTGTATAATTCGCACTTTATACTCGCTGAAGTGATTTTTGCCCCTTTCTTCCGCCTGCAGTACATGTCCATGTCAGTGCGCTTGGTTTTAATCAGCCTCCGAACGCTTGATGGGTTTTTACGGGGATCTTTTATTTCATCTCAGAAAAGCACTTGGAGAGGTTGATTTTCAATGCGGCCAGAGTTTGAACCCATGACCCACTCAATCGTGTAGACGGCCAAAGAGATGGATGATTCGATCAACTCAGGTCACTTCTTTTTCAATATTAACCTTCTGACAAATAGATTTATTGACTTTTGTTTTCTTTTTGAAATTAAAATGAAAAAGATATATATATTTTCAAAAAATTGTTTTCTGTCAAATTTATATTGAGTGAAACTGCCTTCCTTTTTTTGTATCATGGAAATAGTTTTAGTTTTGAGAAAATATCATATCTCGCAAAATGTTACGAAAATCATACAAATACCAGAAAATACCATTTGCGACAGTTCGCTTAAATCCCGCTAATCACAAAGTAGCGTGTTCAGCTTATTCATGCATACCAATCATTTTTAGTAGAGTTCGCAGTTGGGAGAGGTTCTGATTTGCTATTGCAAAAAGCAACATATATACATGCTTACATACATACAACGTATGTTAACAACAGGCAGTTGTTGGCCGCAGCGGCAGGGACCGGTAACAGAGCTAGATCTGCGCGAATTTTTCCGCTAAACGAATATAAAACCAGCGAACGTAAACATTTACCCAGTCGTTGATCGTTGTCGGTGTATCGAGTGCGCCAATTGACTTAGAATTGGGAGTCAAATGTAAACATCAAATATAATTGTTCTATTGAAAACACTTAATACAAACTTGGTTGATAACATAAGCAACAACTGCATGAGGAAATTTTGTTTATAAACTGAAAGGACATTCAAAAACTTTTACCTAAACTACAAAACGCCTAGTGAACAAAGTGTGATCGAATTAATCAAATCCGTTGTGATAGCGTTTCGTGCGCTCGTACGCGCATAAATTTATGTGACAGGGAATTTTCTGAACGTCTGCAAGTCTAATCGTTTAAATACTATACATAAATATAAAATAAATAAACAAAACTCTTAAAGAAATTGAATTTTCGGAATATTTTCTTCTGCTTAAATATTGTGTGCGCGGAACCATGATTTATTGTTTCCCCCTCCCTTTGACGTATCAGAACATTTAGAATAGTCCGATACGCGGTAATAACGCGTGAAAAGCAAGAATAGCAAACAAATAAGAAATACGAAAGCAAAACAAATCGCGCTGACCACGAAATTTACAAAAGCTCAGCCGTCAAATAAATAAATAAATAAATAAATAAGTACATAAATACAAATAAATACGAAAATGGAAATACAGAATTTGCATGACCAAGCGATGTTGGGCAATAAACGGGATTTCGCAAAAAAAGATGCGATAATCCTTGAGGCTCGGTACACGGTAAGTTTTGTAACAGTTTAACATTAAGAAATTAAAGAAAATTAGTGATTTCACTAAATATTACTTGTAAAGCTGAGTATGAACTATTGTATTAGCATACGTAAAAGCGTATGTATGTACATATACTCGTATACATCCATATGTGTTGGCTGCGATACAATTGATACTTATAGACTTGTGGGTGCATACATTTGTACACATTTGTAAAATTTCTTTTTCTTTTTCTTTTTTTTCACTTTCCTACTTTGCACGGTAAGCATATTGCTTGCTGACTACAGTGGAATGTGTTTACATTTTCTAATTGCCGACCAAATGTAAACAATTCAAATTAATTAGTAAATGAGGCACGCGACACCTGTCGGCGATCAATTCAAGATCAAAAAATTATTTCAAATTGAATTAGACATGAACTCTATACATTTGTACTTACAATCCTTTGTGTGCACCGTAGAAAATGAAAATGAAAAGATTTCGAGAGGGAATTTAATATTGGACTTACCTAGGCATATCCCTGTACTAATTCAATTGAGATTTTTTTTATAACAATGAAAGTAATTCTTTTCTGTTTTTTCTTTTGTGATGAGGCTTACTACTTCTCTATTTTTAGGCTCTGTGGACGCGTACAAATATTCTATTTATTAGATTATCAAACTTGCATTACTACTTTCTTTACGCAAACTTGTCCAATAATACTTTATCTCGATTTTTCTATATATTTGAAGTAATATTTTTTTTTTTTTGAAATCGGTTGTCAATTATGTTAGATTTTCAATAAAAACGATAAAGGCTTGGAATTCATTTTTTGTACTTAAAGGCGAGAATTTACAATCAAGGTTGTTAACTATGAATCGCTGACATAAAATTATTGCTTCTGCTTACACGTACACACATGTAAAGAAACCAAAAAATCCTTTCGCGCTTTGCTCTTTTCAACGAACAGATCTTATTTGAAAAAATACTCATATATATGTTTGTACCTAAACTTTTCTGGGTGGGTTTGTGATTGGATGGTTTTCTTTTTAGATTTTGTTTGTATATTTTTTTACCTAATAATTGTAATATCGGAAGGACGAAAATCGCTTCAGCGGTTACAAAGCACCAATAACATGTGTATATTGTCATCTTTATTGAACTTTGCTCACAAAGTTACAATGATCGTGTAAGTGCTCTTAAAAAAATTATTGTTAGCAGGCTTTTAAATAATTGTGAACATTTTCGGTGTCTTACAACTAGAGTCAAATTTTCAAAAAAAAAAAAAAGGAAAAAATATAAGTAACAACGTACATAAATACATTTCAGTAAATTGTTTGGAAATTTGAGACCAATCCGATAAATTGAGATGTACTTAAAAAGAACAAAAATTTATCTAAGTGAAAAATTTAATTGGTGATCTCGATTTCTGAGAAAAGGCTTAACATATCAGTTCCACATTTTTATTGAGCCATTTTTTTAGTTTTATTCCTGAAACGAAAAATATAAACTTTTTTGTCAGACATTTAGTTTTTAAATTTCTTAGTTCAATACTTTCATTAATCTGCCGTTCGGAGCATCATCTATAGCAACGTTTCTCTCAACATAAAATTGACCTCAAAATATTTTTTTACGATAACTTTTATTTTTGATACATTTTTTCGTAGAAATGCCGAGGTGGAATTCAGATAATGAATTGCATTCTATTTTTCTTAATTCTTTATGTACATACATATTTTATTTATTTATTTTTTTTTTTTAAATAAAGCATTAGTTTTCATATAAATCACATACATATAAGGTTTCTTCATTGAGGTGCTCTAGGTTACGCCAGGTTAATCTATTTCAGACATTCCTGTTTCATGAAACTTTTAGAGCAGACTTATGAAAGAAAAAGTAAAGCAATAGAGCAACTCAGAACACGAATTGGCAGACGCGATTTCAAAACGAAGCAAACATCTTAAATACAAGTGAAAATTATTCATTATATTTTCAAATATACCAAATAATCTTATTATATTATTTGGCTTATTTGGCTTAGAAGGGGAATGTGAAACATTCGCATTTGAAAATTTTTGCCGGAAAATTGTTTCTCTAACTTACTCTATTGTTTTCTTCGCAGCTGCTATGTCCTCCTCAGCTACTCTACCAAGATACAATAATTTAAAGGTAGTTAAGATAAAAAATTTTATGGAGAAATTCAATATTTTTATATTACCGAAAATTCTGCTTTATATTTTGATACCTGTGATAGTGGACTTCAAGGAGTATATGCCTTTCATAAGCATTGTATTACAAATGTAGTATATGAATGTATGAAAGTATCAGGCATGAAAAAGATTAACCCTTCAAAATTTAAGAATAAAATATTTCAACTTTTTTTTACTTTATTTATAATAAAAAAAACGGGTTGAAACCGATTTTTCTATAAATCCGTACGTGTTCAACATTGTGGCTGCTGCTTTGAAAATAATCCCAAGAACGAAAACTCCAAGTTGAATATCTTATAATTGACAAGTTTAAGGAATTCAGGTCAAACTCGTTCAATATCAAAAATCTTGGAGTGAAGCTACCTTATAGAATTTTTCTATTTTCAGTTTCGAGTCCCCATCTTCTCGTTTAAAGGTTTGCACTGCCAGCATTTCGCCCCAACGTACCACTACTAATAAACGCTTTGGTTGGAATTACGTCATAGCCCTGAAAAACTAAAAATTTCAATAAATAAAATGAATTAGCTATCTAATATTTTTTCCTTGACTGGATACAGTGACCCCTGACATATGTAAATTTATGTCGGCTACTAAGTTTCCCGCCTGAGAAGTTATTTTTATACATACATAAATAGATTTATGTTCGAAAAATACTTTTAAATTGTTGTAAAATCAGAAAAGGAGTTGGAGTAGGATGAACAAAAAGAATCGTATAATTTATTATTCGACCAGATTTATAATTCTGTATTCCATGGTATTTAAAAAGTGTTCAATTGTGTTTTTTTAGAAGAAATGAAACGCATATAATTCAATGTTGTTTATCGGCTTCGGGTAAGTGACTCAAATAAATTCCACCTTTTGCCGCAATTACGTCCATCGTATCGGGTTTGCCGGTGCAGAAAAGTGATTTCACATTTGTAACTCCACAAAAAATAGCCGAGCGGTGTTAAAGCGCAAGATCTTAGGGCCAGTTCTCCATTAACTGTAACACTATGTGCGGCTTCATTTTCGACGAAATATGGACCAATGATTCCCTCTGGATTTAATGGCGTTTCAAATATGGCGTTTAGATTGTCATCACTCCAATTGCGACAATTTTTTTTCATTGACGTTCGACTAAAAGTGAGCTTCACGCTGAACACTAAATGTTGTTTCGCAGTAAGTCTGTTCATTATTAAAAGACAAGAGACCGAATCCAAACAACACCTTCTATTATATTTATAAATAGTAACGACCGTAATGAATTCATGCTTGGAATAAATTTTTGGTTTTGAATTACTAAAACTTTCCGACGAAATATTAACATTTGATTTTGGCCACGCTGTCTCATACTTGGATATCAAAACTGATCCACAAGACACAACTTAATCTATATGAGATAAGAGGAAGATTCGCACAGTAGTTACTCTTCGTTAGTTGTGTCTTCTGGCACAGTTATAGGGCCATTTTCTTTAAAAATTAAAATACTTACGGATAAACATTTTTGAATTCTCCCGCCCCTCTTCTACTAGACGGTGTCGCTGTTAGCGTTAAGTTCAAAATACGCCATTCTTAAACACGATGTACCTACTAGCGACTGGAAAGAAACTTGTAAGTACAATTCATTTTTTAAGAAATTGTTTCCAATGAGATTGAGTTAATTCAAGTGTGTTTATTATAACTAACGCAAAAAAAAACTTGACAATGTAGACCACATCAACCGTAAAATGAGGTATTATAAAAAGAAAATACATGACAACTAAATGCCAATGGCAGAATAACTATGTATGTAAATAAGGAGAAAGATCTCTGAAATCAAAAGACTGCCTCTATTTATTCATTGGGATTTTAATTTAACTTTAAAGGAATTAGAATTTTGAAGGAATTTTCATACATTCATGCGCTTACACCAAAAGTACTTGATTTATTAGGTTAAAAGTCATCGAGAAAATGCCGAATGACTTCAAAGACGATAGAAAGTAGTCGCCCCTCGGCGGAGAATGTCAGCCGTCTGAGCGTACTTATGATTTGAAATAAAACTCCTCATAATAAACCATCAGCCGTTAGGAGGCGGCTTATATAAACTGTAGGTCTCTCTGTTTGTTGGAGTAACATCCAGGCGCATACCACAAATTAGTGAGCATCTTTACCTTCGAAAAGCGCTTCAACGGTTACAAAGCCCCAATTATATATGTATATTTATTTGTGGATACATAAATTTATTTTATGAAATATATAGTCATATATACCATATATATGTACACACATATTTCTACACATTTATTCTCCAAAAATTTAGAAAACCATTAAATGTGGTATATTAAAATAATCTAGTGGCGATGTGAAGAATTTAGTGCCATACTTCAGTGCCAATGAATTTGTGCGTGAAATTTTATTCTACAAAATTCTAGTATTTTTAGATTTGAATTCTCTTAAGTATTCATACATTTAATTCATGCGATGTATACTTGACACACAGATGAAAAGAATTTTTGAAAATAAATAATACACAGAGGCAATAAATTCAGAACGAAATTAGATTAATCCCCATTAACACGACTAGCAAATACCTTTTAATTAGTTAATAAATAAATACTTAAACACTTTCATTTTGATTTCTTAAAAATATTTCAGTTGTCCGATCTTTATCCCATACGGAGATTGACACAAAGAATGGACAATGTACTAAACGTAACCGGTGTAGCACAGCCCAAATCTGCAGCCTCTGCCGCCTGTCCCTACGTGGTGGAGCCCATTACTGAGAAGGACAATGAGGCCATATTGTCCATGTTACGGAGATTTTTCTTCAAGGTAAGTCACATGGAAAAGATTCTGAGTGAGCAATGAGTGAATTTTAGCTAAGAGCAACCAATACATTTTTTATCAGAGTATTTTGCGGCAGTGGTCGTTTAACGAACTACATATTTCCCCTAAAGAGATTCGCGAAGAAATTGCTTTAATCCAAAAAATCAATTTATTTAATTGCATAAGTTTCTTACTGAAATTTTTCTGAGATCGTGAGTTATAATATTTCATAGCAGTTTCAATAAAAAGTGAATTAAAAGTAAAAGGGTGTTCATCATTCCGCCAGATTGCTATTTGTGACAGATCTGATGGCACGTGTATGATCTTGATTTGTTTCCTTAATTTTTTCTACCAATTTCCGAATGAATTTTAATTTATATTTTTTGGCAATTGGATCGGGATGTGATAGTTTATTCATTTGTGTAAACTCATAAATTATGAAATCATGTCACTTATCCACGTGCCTTAGAAGGAAGGTGTGTTGCGTTGTATGTACGATAGAGAAATAAAAAAACCCGCGCTGCATACAAAAGAGATCTTTGCCAGTATTGTACAATAATTGCGTTGCATAGAGTGTAAAAACAATAGCAACGTCAATGCAATGCAAATTCGGAGACTATAGAATACTTAATGCATACCTGTAACCCACTTGACCAAACGATAATGGATTCATTTATTTAATATCAATGAAAAATACCTACTTTAAATAAACAAAATCAGATATTTCATATCATATATAGACGAGCATTAAAGTTTCTTGTTGAAGGACTATTTTAAATTTTGAGCTTTTATAGGATACATTACTCCAGATGCCTTAAAGCTTTGCTGCCTCTAGACATGACCTCAATGAAAGACAGTCGATAATACTGCGTGGTTTGTTTTTGTTTTTCTACGCATTGAAAATGTTAAATTTGTATTTAATGTATATTTTTTTGTAATTTTGCATACCGAAACATACATACATACATACGTTAATTATATTTTTAGGTGTTTGTTCGTTAAACTCACTATGCAATATAAAAGTAGTTTGAGAAAAACATGTTTACGGATGGAATAGGTTTTCAAAACATTCTATTTTCATATTTAAAAACAAAACCAAATTGAAAGTCATACATATGGACATACATATGTATGTATGTATGTGATCTTTAATTTGATGTTCTGCATTCCTGATTTATTGTCTGATTATAAAACAAAGAATCTGCCAATGAGAAATTAGCGAAATACAATTCCCACATATTTGCAAATCAAAAGCAAATTTCAAAATTTCAGTTTGAATTTAGTTCTAAAATATCGAAAGGAAACGGTACTAGAAGCAGAAATATTACACGCGAATAAAAGGTTAAAACAAACAGGGAGCCGCAGGTCTTCCAGAATCTAAATGAAAATATTTCATAAGACAACTAAGCCAATTTGGATATTTATTGTATTTTTTCATCGGTCTAAAGCTGAGGCATGCACTGACAGGGCCATAAATAAAAAATCATCTTTTCTTAATTTTAGGATGAGCCGCTGAATAACTTTTTAAATTTGGGCGACTGTAAAGAGTTGGAAGAATATACTTTGAAGTGCGTCAAGGATAACTGCTCCTTTAAGGCCGTGCATAACAATGGTGACTTGATTGGAATTTTTCTCAATGGACTTTTAAAAAGACCCGTGAGTATTATGTATTACACACGAACTTTTATGTACACGTATATATGTTCATATATTTATAATGCGTATAACAACGCATGTTACTGCCGCTTTGGGTTGTTCCATAAAAACAAGCAGCCAATATAATAGGGAGAATAACTGGATAGATTTGAAATATATTGACCTAAAACAACTATCAAAATTTTTTTTGCAAAAATCAGTATCATAATAGGAGGTTCAAAAGGGAGGCGCAGTTTACACCGATATCTGGCTAAAATAAAAGTTGTGATTGTCGACCACGCGATTCACCTTACATAGATAACTAGCATCCTGTTCCGAAAAGCATTCAATAATTTTAGATAATTATTTTACATATAAAACTAAGCTAAATTTTGGCAGGGGATATTAACCCCTTCGAGTATATTTCTGACATGTTATAAAGGATTCTCATAAAAAACCCCCACCAGTTGTTCGGGAGTGTCTCAGTATAAACTGTAGGTCCGTCCATTTGTTGGAGAAACATCAATACGCATACCACAAATTGGAGGATATCGGCCGAACTCGCTTCAGTGGTTACAAAGTGTCAATTACATAGATAACGAGTTGATTTCATAGCTTTTGAATCAGTTCGGACTGAACAACTGATTTCTGAAGTTAGTCATACGTAACGAATCACTTGTCCACCAACCTAAAATTGCTCAAAATATTTAGTTATTTTCTCAAGAAATTGGGTTACCCGGACTTCACTAAGTAGAGGTCGACGGACACCCGCACAGAAATACACCTTCCCAGTTAGGCGTCATTGAAAGCTCTTTTGCTCTCCGAAATATGTCCAGTCATTGTTTTTTATCGGTTGGTGGGGATGTAAATATAATTAAAATTGATGGAGCGAAATGATGATTTTAACTTATAGATCATTGTGTTTGAACTCATTTTATGAACTTGAAAAGCTATGCTTGTTTAGTCTACATACATCTACATATGTATGTATATAAATCACAATGACGTGCTGAGTTAATCTCAACATGCTCGCCTGCTTGTCTGTTTGTCCGTAAATTTGCTTCCCTGTTTTTGTTTTCCAACTAAATTTGATATGAAGGTGTGTGGAATATATCCTTAAAAAAATACAAAAATTGTTATTTAGCTTTAATAAATAAATACTTAATCTAATGCAAGCATTTCTTTATGATTTGAGTCGACACCGCAGGCAATAATACCAATAATTATTGGAAAGCAATTCCCGAAGTTAAGCGGGAGGTGGGGTGGGGAGCGGATCTATATGAAGAATATTTTAGACATTCCCTGAAACTTCTCCTAGATATGTGTGTTATTGGCCTGTGCCTTTGATAGTAGATATGTAACCAATCTTTCCGCTTGGCCGAAGTAAAAAAAGCCAGAATCGCCAGCTCGTATTGGGGTTTTCGCTTGGGATTTCATGATTCGATGTTAATTTGATTTGGTTATTTCTTTAAATTCAAGATATTCGATCTCTATTCATGGATTCTTAAACGTGGACTCAAAATTATTAAGGCAGTTTTACATTAGCTTAAAAACTAAAACAAAAATAAGCAAAAAAAAACTATTAATATTCACGTCCGAAATAATATTGTGTATTCATGAGAAGATAAAGTCATTGGCATGGCTCAAATGCAGTTCAATTTTAAGAAGTGTACAAAAAAAAATTTCTAATTAATAATTATGATTCCATTGCTTTCATTTCAGTCACCAGATGCAGTGCCAACGGAAAAAGCGTCGGATTCATGCCAACACCAAAAATTCAAGAAGATTTTGTCACTTTTTGACAGAATTGAGGAAAAATTCAATATTTTCGATTTATACCCAGACACCGATGTCATACTTGACGGTAAAATTCTTTCAGTCAATTCCGACTATCGTGGACTGGGCATAGCTGGACGTCTGACCGAACGCACGCTAGACTACATGAAGGAGCATAACATTCCGCTGATGCATGTGCTTTGTTCTAGCCATTATTCGGCTCGTGTTATGGAAAAACTGGGTTTCCATGAAGTGTATAGACTCAATTATTCCGACTACAAAGTCAATGATGAAGTGGTGTTCACCCCAGCAGAGCCCCATGTGGCCGCACGTATTTTAGTGAAGGAGCTCGCCGAAGTCAATCCCAAAAGTACACTATAAATATCGCAGAGATTGATTGATGCCGACTTATTACTATGTCAATTGGTTGTAAAATGAGAAGAGTGAATGTTATTTAGTTATTAAAATTAACACTTTGGTGAGGGTAAATGCAATTCAATTAGAAAGTACAATAATAATATTTAATAGTATTTAACTAACAACAAACATCTTGAACGCAAAATGGAACCGAATGGAATGGAAAAACTGGATCTCTATGGCAGTTTTAATGAATTCTATATTCCATTTAATCTGTGAAAACCAGAAAATTACTGTAGGAACTGCTTGTAATTGAGTAAATTTGTAGAAATTATTGGTTAAGTTGTTACCTCTGTATTTGTACAATTGTGTGTACGCATGTACATATGTATATGTATGCATATAGATTATGTATTTCTTATTTAGATATAAATAAATACTTAATTCATCCGATTCCTAGTGAATTTACAATGTACAATTTATTTAGAGTATGTATACATGCATATGTATGTATGGATGCTTATAAAAAAATTAAATATTTCTATTAAAATATGACAAAAAAACATTTGTGTTTGCAAAACATTGCCAAGTTCTGTACGAAAAATATCCAATTTTAACATACATACATATAAATGTAAGCAATAACATTATTATATACACAATTATTTACAATTTTTTATGTATCTTAAATGCCATGTACATTCAATTATTTACTCTCAAGCATATTACAAAATATGCACATCTGTATGTACATACTTAAAAACCAAATGCCTGTAATAAAACGCAAAATGGAGAATTTATTTAATCTGTTTATTATTTACGGTTGTTAATAGTTAAATTTGATATCTCGGGCACATTCACCCCCTGACATCCAAAGCGATCGTGAGTACCACACTTTTGATGAATAATAGGGATATTGAGTTTCAACAGAAAACAAGAAATTTAGGATGATCCAGATTCGGAAATTTCAAGCACCTCCATACTTAATTAAAACCTGCGTTAGCCCAAGAGGAGTGCTTCCATCCACCACTTATTTTTACCTTAAAAAGCTATATTTTCATTTCCACTTATTCAGATAAATTAAAGCCTTGTAATTATTCGTAGTAGTAGCCCAGTGGTAAGCGTGATGTAAAGACTAGCTTACCAAAGCGCATACATCATTAATTACCGTAAAATTATTTCTGTTCGGTAACCTGATGGGCATTAATTTACATACATACATATGTTTCTAAATTTTACGGATCCCTGTTCGATAAGGCAAAAGAGAAAGCTAAAATTTGGCGTTTAGTTTGGTGGAGAAATTACAAGTTCCTGCAGGGAAAATTCCTGCCTTTTCTCGTGGAATAGAGAGAGACCTCGTATGTATGTTAAATGCTCACCAGCAGATACTGGTTTAAATATTTTTAGACTAACATATTTTCGTCCACTTGGATGACAAGACAAGAAAACGTAGTCGCTGCATCTTAAACGGTAAGATGCTGTCCCATCGTTGATCGTAGATACGTCAAAATTAATATTTATTAATTTCCTCAAAAAACAGCTTGCAGTTGATGATGAGATAATAAGGAGCATTTGAGGTGCCAGTCTTAGGTTTGGAAAAACATATTCTTCATACGAGATTGAAAAAAAAAATTCTAATGAAATTTGAGTTATAATTTCTTTCCCATTGATATTCATCGAAATCTGTATTATAAAGCTCAAAGAAATTTTTGCAATTTATTAAGATCATTATCAAGATTGCAATGTTATATTTTCATCGTATTGTCTGGTAGAAATTCATATTTTAAATCATTTGCAAAGGCTTTCTATATGAAACTCTAATCGCCGGCTCATCAAGTGTCGTCGATGTCGTTCCTTTTGCACCAGTTTGGTTTTTGGTTGGCGATAGAAGACTCCCTTTTTGGAGTGCTTACTCAGACCCAAGAGGTGGCGTACGCGGTAGATTTCAAAACTGGCATATTTGTTGGTATAGATGCTGCTTCCTATTTCTACGACTTCCTAGTTATAACTGTAAGCAGTGATGTGGTAGCCAGGACGCAAACGCACCAGCTGTTTTGTTAATGACAGTAGATATTTTAGCTGCCTTATACTGTCTGAAGGAAGCAGAACTACCAGTGAGAAGGCAGCAATTGAACGCTCGTAAAGGTCCTTCCCAATCCTTATTATGCTTCAGATATTAAGGGGTGATACAGAATCGGATTTGACTGGAGTTATGGCTGTTGCGGTATGTAAGATGGGTATTTGCAACATTAGGGTTAGACATTCCGATTATTGATTTGAATATCGTTTTCATTTTCGAAACAGAATTAGTATCGGTTTGTGTTACAGTTCACTCGGCTACAATCGCGTAAGCGATGTCTATGCCAATAAAGTGAGTGTCAGAAATAAACCGAGCAGTTAATCGATGACAGATTTGTGTGTGATTTTCTTTGCAATCGTAAATTTAATAAAAAATTAGGCCAGGAACAATGGGACTTACAACTATTGATGCCTGGAATACGATACTTGGTGTAAAAATGGTTACGAGCTCTCCGCTTTTCACTGTCGTCGATACCTAACTTTATTCAGGGGTAAGTCAACCGTTCAAAATCCTTTAACGCTTCTGTTATAACCACCGATATTGAAGTTCGCGCTAAGCAGATACATATTTGTTTCACTGCTCTCACACCATTGATAGGAGCCTTCTGAGGAAACCTCAGTGCTGCAAGTTGGAGCACAGGTGGATGAGCAAAAATTTAAATTGAATCCCTTAAATTTTTGCACAAGTTTGTTTCCAGTTGATTCGAAAATACGTTTTGTTTATCTTCGAAAAAAACCAACTTAAGTCGGTTTCATAACACCATTTCAAACAGTTATTGATTTTTAAATTCGATAAATAAGCAATTCAATGTCGGTTTCTATAACGCCCCGGATTTTCTAGAGTTAACGACGTAGAGGGAGCTACAGTCGCCACCGATTGTTTACGAAGATCACGAGATACATAGTAATGCTATCACAATTAAGATTTGGAAATTTTAGTCGACTAAATTCCGACAACAACAGCAGTCCGTTTGTTTTCGTGGTGAATATCTGATTAATGGAGATTTACCGAGTTAAGGCCACATCGTAAGGCCCAACCAGTTTGCTGACAGCGGGCTTTACTCTTTTACATAATACGCCAGAGAAACTGAATGCCAGCACCGGCCTTCCGCACTAACTAGTTCATCAATTTTTAATACATTTTACGATATTTCGCAAGACATTATATTCAGTTGGGTTACAGAACTAGGTTGTTGTCGGAATCAGAATTGAACCCGACAAAGTTCTGTTAAAGGGGTTACACTTTCCGATTATTGATTCGCATATCGGTTTTATTTTCGAAACAGAATTCTTTCGATTTTAGGTGTTACAGATAGGGATAGACAGTCTATCTAACTTGTCTTCAATGACATCCAGCTCTATTAAAAAAACTTCTTTGTAAAGACGATATTGAATAGTTTCACCAAATTCTTTTATCATAAAAAAATGCGTTCGCTGCCGAAGTCATTTTATTTTTAGTTAATAATCACAAATGTTTTAAAAGCAGTACACCAATTAAATGGAATTGCTTAGATTTTTGAACAAGTTTGTTTCCAGCTGTTTGGATTGGACAAACTTTTGCGGTTGTACAAATTTCACTATTTGAAAAAGAAAATGTAAAGATTTTGAACTCTTAAACAAAAATATCTTACTTCTCCCGTTTAAAGAAAACAGCTTGTGGCTAATACATGTAAACATTGTTATAATTTCTGCTTATAAGATAATCCCCATAATAGAAAAATTTTCAAGTTGAATATCTTAAAAGCAAGATAAAACATTTCTGTGCAAACAAAAATTTTGAAGTGAAACTACCTTATAGAATTTTTATATCATGGGTTATATAATAGAATATTCATACATATATATATTAAAAAAATAAAATTTTATTATACTATTACAAGTTTTCTTTCTGCAAGTAGTTTTAAAGTTTCTGTTTATCTTTCGTTTCTTTCCATTCGATTTACCATTCGACGTAACTGCTCCTCATTCCCATATTTTTCAGCATCAGCCCGAATTGCTGCGTGATAGCTGCCAGCTTCTGCTGATTTTGTGTCTAAGACTTTGCGATTAAAGGTGAACGAATGGCTGAAAACATAATAAGCACTGCTCACTTTACGCGTTGGGTATATTTTGTGTATTTACACAGATTAATCTTACTTAACGCATACAAATCCAAATATGGCACCTGCTATTCCCAATAGTGCCAACACAAAAGCTATTTTTGAATTAGAAACTCGTTCCAGACCCTTAACTCCATAATATGGCCCCGGATTTGGATCATAGTTAGGCTTCACCTCCCATGGTCTAAAAATAAGAGTTAAGCAAGGATAGTGCGTAATTGAAGAGAATTTCTTCGTACTTATGTAATTCTTCGGCATGCATATTTTTCACTGCACTTGATCTTGATCTTTGACCAGGCCGCAACAGTTCAGCATCATATAAACGTTGATCATATGCCGAACGAGTCTTAGGTTTGCTAAGTATTTGATAAGCTTCAGAAATCTTAACAAACTGTGCTGTTTGCTTTGGATCCGAACTCAGGCCTTTGACATCTGGATGAAACTACAACAAACACATAATCTAAAATCTTTGTTTATAGATTTTATCAAAAAATACCTTTTTAGAGAGTTGTACAAAAGCACTGCGTATTTCTTGGTTGCTGCAGTCTTTCCGTACTTTAAGTATGTCATAATATGTTTCCCCACTTTGTATACTGTAACAACGCACTCTATGGACGAAGAAAATAAAATTTTAAAACTATTTATAACGTATGTAAAAGTATATGTCGGTCATCTTACGCCGTATTTACATGCCTCCAGCATAAGTTGTTGTGAAGTAGGATGTTGCGCATTTCAACTTTGAAAAATTTCAAAATATCCTAAAATTTTATAAATTTTGAACGAAATGAATAATTTAAAACATTAATAAAAGAAAACAGAAAATTAAACAGCAATCAGCTGTTATATCAACCAAGGCCTTCTTTGAAAGGAATTTAGAATCAAACGTAAGGAAAAAGTGATGCCACAGCAAAAAAATATTTTAACAATTTTAATAAATTAAACCAGAATAATTTCCCAAATTTTTCCCGACAGTTCCATTTAAATGAACACGCCAGCAGTGTGCACTTTGCTCTCGAAAACTGAAATTATTTTCACTAAATACGCCTCGAGATTTCCAAATCCTTCATGTTCGATTATTGCAAGCTAAAAAAAAACTCTAAAATTTGTTTTACTATTTCTTATTTGTAAAGAACTTTATCAACGTTTATTTATTCTTCAAAATTTCATAGTTTGCTATAATAAAAACGATGATTTATTTAACAATTTTCGCCTTCCATCGATGTTATGACCAACAAATTCACTTTGTAGCTAGCTAGCGCTGTGATTACCGCTCTCTTATATACCTCCTTGATTGCTCGTACTCAACTCAGAAAATTACTTACGAAACATAATCAGTATAGACGATACTCGCTCTCTAGAATGTGCTTAAGTAATACTTGTCGAAGCCACTTGACTCCTGCAGAGTTGCGTTCAGTGCTTGTATGTCCTGTTCAATGATTGTTGCACGTATTGCTGTATGGTGTACTTCATGTTAAGTACTCCCTTTCTGATGTGAACCACCACCTAGTTCAGCTTCAATAAGGTGCCTATTGGGGTGTACTATACGGTAGCATCCAAATAGGAAATGATGACACAGCATAGGATCTATGCGCAAGTGATGCTCCGGCGACATCAGGAGGTTTCCTGGCGAGGTCCTGAGGGTGGTGTTTTGACAAGCCTGTAGCTTCTTCATTTGCGTCTCGATCGTCCCCGGCATCAAGATCTGTGCAGCATAGTTTACGACCAGCCGGCCAGTTAGTCGCAGCTCTGGAGTTATGCGGCAATTGCGGTAGTGTGCGGAGTGCAGGCTGTCCAGTGTTACTCCCAATATCTTTGGGTTGTTTACGGTCGGTATTTCCATGTCATGGAACTTTACATCTTATTCAAGACTGTACTCTTTCGTGCAGCTGGTAAAGAGGGTAGCCGGGGATTTGTTCGTTTGTATTTTTATTTGTCGTGCAGTGAAGAAGTGAGAAAGATCGGCAAGGTAGCAGTTCACTCTCGAACAGAGGTCATCAACATTCTGGACAGACGCCATTATCATGCAATCATCTGCTTACTGCATTGACTATCCGAGTGTTGTTGTGGTACTACGCACTTTACAGAAACTATGCTGATGTGCTGCTGGTCGTAGATTGTGAATGAAAATAGGGAGCAGCAAGGCCTAAAGTGCCTTCGCTACTGGGGAGAGGAGAGTTATCGGCCGATAAGACTCTCCTTTGTTAGCTTGTTTCCCGGGCTTGAATAGCGGGACCATCTTGCCCATTTTCCGCACGCCAGCTATCATTAGGTTAGTCAAAGACAAGTTGAAGATCTTTTTATATATTTTCATTAATTTTTTTTATCTTTTATTTAATAATAATAACAAAACATCCGCCTTTAAAATGCGTATATGTATATGTGGTTCTGAAATTGCTTCTGTTTCATTTCCTCCTTGTTCCACGATGTTTTAGCATCCGCATGCTTATTCCGCCGGGGCCGATGGATTTGGAAGGCTATCGCCTTCTCGATGACGCACTGAACCTCTTCCCAGGAGAAATAAAGCACAGCGCTGGTGTTTGGCAGTTTGCCAAATCTGCGAAATATAGACCTCCTCGGCAACATTGTCCTTTCACTCAACTTCTTACGATGCTAACGTTATATATGGCCTCCCGCAACTGAGCTAAACTTCCCTTGGGATAGTCGACATAATCCTTTACTTCAATAACTGCTTCTGTCCTCAGTCTTCACAACATGCATTTCTTAGACTCAGAGAATGCTCCTATTATTAAAGTTATGTTGATAAAATTAGAAACTGAAACCACAAAAATCCGATAGTGGGAATAACGATAATTTATTAACACCTTCTTTTTCTTCTTCATTGGCGTAGGGCCCGCTTACACTTTTATAGCCGAATCAGCAATAGCGCGTGATTCGTTCATTCTCTTCGTTCGATGTTTGGTGCCATTTGGAAATATCAAGTCATACCAGGTCGCTCTCGACTTGATCCTCCTAATGGAGTAAGGATCTTCCTCTTCATAGAATACTTTCAAAATACTGGACAGCGGCGCCTGAAGGTTCGCCGTTGCCAAAGCGCACAGGATCATATACATATTTTGCGTTGGGTTTCAAGGTTGCTATTAGTATTGGTGTTAATGCAGGAAATTCTCCATGATCTCGAAGTTAGAACTGTCGACAGTGATGCGCTGGAGCCGAGCCGCGAACATGTGCTATTTCGACTTGGGCCCGTTCGCTACCAGATGCATTCACTTCGCTTCTTTATCAAGTGTGCATTTACGGCGCATTGTAAATATCTAGGCAATGGTAGATTTACTAAAGCCACACTGATAAGGTCCAATGCGTTTATTTAGGGTACGCTTTAGCCTTTTAGATAATATCAATAGGACCTTTTATGCGATATTTAGGAAGCTAGTCCCACGGTGATTGGCGCAGATGTTTGGGCTACCAGCAGATCCTAGTGCTACGCATAGTCTGTTTCCGTGCGCCGGAACGCGACATCATCTAAGTACATTTCTTGCTCTGCCTGGAGATTGTAGTGACGCATATAAGAATCTTTCCACGCCCGCAACTAGAACATCGCTGCCAACCAACATCAACGTGCATCACCTAATACAGTAACAACATACAAGACCCACACTTCATTCCCTCACCCCGTATTACTACCACTCAAATCTCTTGAGCATGGCCAGATTTAACATCGTCGGCAAGGATTGCGAGTGAACCCAGGTCCTGGCATTTATCCTACGCCCCCCGTGGAGTATCCTCTCATCGCCTTTGATGGCGAGCTCTAAATATTTAATATATACATATCTCCAATTTCTCATTTCCTAGTTGTTTATCGATAGAGCTGCGATACTCAGAGGCATAAACCGTTTGGTTAACAATAATACTCACCACGATTTTTGGCATTTTAGCCTGTGAAATGATCGTATAGAATGCAGCTGGTGGAAAAAATAGGCGTTCCAACGTTCTGCACAATGGACGACGACTTCAATTTATTTTTGAACATCCTAATAATACCCGACGTGAGAAAAGGTGCACAGCTATAAGCATCCAGAGTCAATGGCTTCAAGAAAAACAAGTTCTGGGTGAAAACAGTCCTAATAACGTTGGATATTTCAAATGCTTTTGCCACCGTCAATTATTGAGAGCTACTATCAGGCATTGCTGATTCCTCATTTGCGCCGGGGCTGAAGAGGTGGGCCATGGGCTATTATAAGAAAAGATGGACCTTGGACTACCATTGGTAATCATCGGTAGAGGTTCGAGGTCAAACCTCCAAACTCCGATGGATTAAATAACGGTGGTCCTGTCTCCGCTGTTGTTTAACTTCGATAGGTCGAAATTCCCTCCCTCAATAGAGGGTGTTTCACTGAACACATATTTCGGTAATTGCTCGATACTGGTATTTGGCTAGAATATTAACGAATTTTGTTTGAAAGTGAACTGCTATCTCTCGATCTGGGCGCCGGAAGAAGCTACAAGGAAAAAGCCAAAACAGGAAACCTCCTGATGTAACCAGAGCATCAAACAAGACACTAGGCACGTCAGGAAGGTATTACTTGACTAAAAGGATTGCATTCAGCACCCTGTACTAGAATCACTGGTCAGGACGACTTTTCGACAGGCTTTAAGTGCCGTTAACCGAGAGTTCACGAAGTTAAACCACCAGCCTTTGCATACGGTGAGCCCGAGCTGTCTGGAGACTACGGCGTGGTTCCGGGAAAATTAGGATTTGGCTATTGTAGTTGTCTAAATTCCTACCTATCCAAACTTCACCCTTACGTATGTCCCGCAAGCAAGAGAACCCGCCACCTTTTTGCATGCCTCTCAAATTTAATCATCTAACTCATTTAGGGAGACCAAATAACTGGTCATTAACTATCCAATATATGACAATTAAAGTCCTACAAAATTATGGAAAAATGTATATAACCGTGGTCACCCTCGGCTGGGAATGTCGCTGCCCCCAATGTATTTCAGACATGACATAAAAAGCTCTTCAGCTCAGTGTAAACTGTGATCTGAAATATAATACCCTTGATGAATTGACTAAGGCATATATACTGACAAAAGACGCCAAAGCTCGTGAAATACTTGATTAGGATGGAAACGAGCACAAGACATAATCGTATGTAAGCACTTTACTTATATAAGAAAACTTTTAAATATTGTAATCATTTTCCTAAATTAAACCAATCATATCGGTCAAGTCCTTCGGGTTCGATCACTGGATTTATAAAGCACGACTCTGCTGTAAATACACATTCTAAAATTTCACGTTGTTATTTTGTGCCCAGAACCCTCTGCGATTGGCTTGTTTCTAGTCTGTTTATCGCATGATCGACTAGAAAGGGCAACAGCATTTGATGGGTATTTTCTTTCCGACGTCAGATCACAGAATGTGATGAATTGTTCATTATTATACGAAACTGCTTTTTGTCACATATTATCTTTCGGCTATGAACTTAAAAATTAGATGGCACTACAAAAAAAAAGTAATTTTGTAAACAATAAAATCCTTAATGTGTTATGCATACGACGGCTCGCTTCTCTATATAGTAGACGTCTCTATATACATATGGGGATCCACGGCATAACATCCACCGCTGACTATTTTTATTATAACAATTTGGTCAATTCCAAAAGAGTGTATTTAAATTTTATGATAAAAGCGCCTCCTTTGAATACAACCATATTTAGACATTTTATTTCATTCTTCACAATTTGTGATCTAGAAAATCACACATGATTGAAGTTTAAGTTTAATTTCAGGTAATAGAAAAGAAAATGTGGCAAAGATTTCTAAAGCTAGCTTTTAAGAGTTGTTCCGAATAAAAAATGTGGATAATTTTAATAAAGTATGTATATGCATATGGATAGACTTAGTTTAACTTATTATTTATTACATGCGCTTAAGTGACATGATCAACTATCAGATCCCTTTTCAATAGGGATCAAATAATTAAACGGTGCACATGACTTGGATTTATTGACTGTTGACGTTTAATCGTATTATTACCATCTTCTGACACCACATTGACTATAGGACTACTTGGCTGGTAGTCTGAACGCAAGTGAGTATGATGGTGGCTGGTATCCCCTACGTTACTGCAATTACTGTGACTTGGATGAAGTAGCGAAGTTGTGGCTTTGACTCGCCTATGTAAAATACGTTTACCCTATTGAAAGATAAGTTGGTGAGCTGCATATACAATACAAATACACTGGTATTACCTGTCTTGTCTTGTTTGATTTGGATTCTTCAATTAGGCTATTTGGCACTTGAAACAACGCCTCTCCACGCGTTATAAGCATATTAGTAAGGCGACAACATTGCGCAGCCATCTTAACTTGTTCCTCAATACTATTTTTATCTGTTGGATGTATGTAACGTGGCGGGAAAAATGATGGTGCAATTATTGTGGCAACATTATGCATATTCATTTTATTAAAAACCCTCTGCTCAATAACATTGTTTAGAAAACGGATTAATGTTCGCAACGTATTTCGATTTTCATGAGGCAACATTTGAACGACAATTGCCAAAGCTTTTGCCTGATCTGCGGGTGGGAGACCATGACATTGATAGAATAGCTGAATAAGCTCATTTGTGAGTAATGGTTGAGGAAGCTCACGTAACCATCGCTTAAGTAAAGCGCTCAGATCATGCACACTGGCTGAGTTCAGTAATTGAGTAAACTTTTTCGGCTTCTGATAAAAACTCGATTCCAATTCATTATAAAGTATTTCAGTCTTTGAAGAATATAAAAAATATGATTTTAGTTGTAAGAAAAACTGTACGCTGTAGAAAGAGGGAAATCTACCTTTTGCTTATGCCCAGCAACGCGCAGAATACCCTCCTCTCTAGCACCACGTTTCGTAAGCTCTTCCAGCAGACCTTCTAGGAACAACGGCACCAGTGTTGAATCCTTTCCCGTTATTTGCTGATCGCGCCGAACAAGCGCATTTAATGACACACCGAACAGGTTACCTTCCTCTTTCCGACGTCGTTTGAAAGGTTTTCGTTTATCGAGGGAAACATGATTCCGATCGAAAATTGCTGCTAATTCTAACCAAAAAACTGTCTGAAGACGTTTCAGCTCTGTTTCATTTATAGTATCTATATCGGTACAGAACTCTAGGGAAGAGTCATTACTGTCCACAACATCCTGTAAGAATATTTCAATCAAATAATTATAAAAGAAAATAGGAAATGAAAAATAGTAAGTTGTTTTATTACATACCACTCCATCCTGACTAGATGTCTCACGGCACATATTCTCAAAACTAATACCGTCTCGAGATGAAGGCGAATTCTGTACACTTTGTGGCGGTGTATCTAAATGTATTTTTTGTGGAGTGCTCTCTGAGGAAGATGAGCTCGACAAACGTGCGTTGTTGGACAAACACTCGTCACTTGATTCACCTGAAGCATTGTTGTCACTATTAGAATATTGTAAAAGCTGGCCGTGGACACGACTAAAATAGAAATAAATAATTATATTTTCGTTTATTTAGTATACTAAGGAAATACTAACCCTACAGAACATGACGGATCGGATCCAGATCGATTTCGCGGGATGTGAATGGTACCGATACGAGAAAATCCCAGTAATTCTATACCCTCTGCAGCAAACATTGGAATATCACAACGAATATGTGAACCGCGAAAAATGTCTTGTGAACTTTTAAGTGGAGCACTTGGAGTTCGACGTAGACGTTGTTTCTGATTTTTATTCAACTGCAAAGTCTGATGGCCATTCCCTGAGTCTACCACTGAATTATGATCGAATATGCTGACAAAACTAGGTCTGCAAAATGATAATAATAAGGATACCAGTTGCATTATTATAAAATTTATTTCCTATTTTTTTAATTTATAGTTCACTGAATAATAATTTTGATATTTATTTCAAAATTAACATGTTTTTATCACAAATTCCTTGCTTGAGTATTTACTTACATAGATGCGTTTCCCCAAACTTCATCTCCATGAATCGAATCTAGCGAGTCAGGCGTAGCGCTCCGGGATCGGGTTCCAGTACTGGATTCCTGCAATTAAAAGGTGTAGTGTATCGTCTAAGATATTTTATTACCAGTTTATTTACATCAAAATCTCGAAAGACATCTCTGATGTCTGGTTTTCGTTTTTGACGATTTTTCGTGCGGCCACGTACAGTATGGTTTAAAGCTCGAACGCGCTGTTTGATTGCTTCAGCATGGGGCATAGAAAGTGTTGCAAGTACCGGCTCCAAATCTGAAGTACGCAATTCTAGACCCTGAAACACGAAAACAAAACATTTAATCAGCAAACACTTTTTCATTAAAAATTTCCAAGAAAAACTGTTTTAATTTTGAATATATGGTTTTTGCCGCATTCATAGACAGCTGATTACTGCTATGTTACCTGTATAGGTCTGTTCAGTGAACTGATGGGCAGCAACAATTGTAACAAATTTTTATGGAATCGTATTCGGTGAGGCAAAAGCCCATCTTAGATATGTCAATAAGAATTAATGCCTCTATCCAATTCTTAAGAAATGGGCAAACTCCATATAAAAACACTTAAGTTCATGGTAATGAAAATTTTCGCTGTCATGTTTGAATGCTATGCTGCTCTTATATTAGAGAATCGATAACGTCATACCTTTTTCGATAAATGTTCCCGTTTCATAAAAAAACAAATGTGGAAGCCCTTGCGAACCTAACAAATATATATGTCAACATTTGTTTTCTTAGTCCGAGCTTACACGGGGATACATTTTCTTGAAGAAACGCTCGTTTGAAAGGGAGGAGAGGACGACGAAGGCGACAGCTTTCTGCCTGATCGACACGCTTTCTGTTCCTATTCCTATCTGTAGATTTTGATATTCCCTTTTATTTTTTTTCACTGTGAATTGATTGTAGCTGTCTTAAATTTCAAGCGAATAAACGCTGTATAATTGGAAATTGAAATTTGGGGTTTTACTACAATATATATATGTGTTGCGTAGATATATCTAATTATTAATGGAGTTTGCAAATAAAGTTGAATTAATGCAAGAAATATTAGAGTGTGTTGAAGAAGCCACTGAGTTTGACTATGTTGATAGTGAAAAGGATGAGATATGTAATTCTATTACACTTTGGAAAGGGTAGAGAATATGTTTACTCGAATTTAAAAATCTATATGCATAAGAAATAAATAAATAAAAGCTGTGTCTTACTTTACACACACTTAGTTTTCTTATTTTAGAAATACTAAAAAGCGCGAAGCAAACGAAAAATTGCCAGTGTAAAGTAAAGCGGGATAGAGAAAAAAATCTAGAAGAAACAAATTTCAAAAAAATGATTGAACAAAGTGTGGACATGAAGGGGGACACAAAAAGGAAAATTATGATAAAGAGCGATAAAAGTGTCCTCATGTAAACTCAGACTTAGCGAAAGTGAAGTAACGTTTTTTCAGCAAAGGAGTTCACCGAGCTTTCAAAGACAAATTTAAAACGCCAAAAGCGCTCCTTAATTTTTCTGCACAGCAAGAACGCATATTAGTAGGACTTGGCAGATAACTTCAGAGTTATATGAATACATGTAAATAATATTTAAAAACCTCTTTGCATACATATTGGGTTGCCCAAAAAGTAATTGCGGATTTTTTAAAAGAAAGTAAATGCATTTTTAATGAAACTTTGAATGAACTTTAATCAAATATATAATTGCCATTTTGTTCGATAACCTTTTGCCATCTTCCTGGCAACTTTAGTATTCCACGCTCATAGAACTTCTGGCCTTTATCTGCAAAAAACTGAACCAAGTGCGATTTTATAGCCTCATCATTGCCGAAAGTTTTACCATTTAAGGAGTTCTGCAAAGATCGAAATAAATGGTAGTCCGATGGTGCAAGGTCAGGGCTATATGGTGGATGCATCAAAAGTTCCCAGNGATCCAAACCGTTGGGAGTACAAGAAACAAGATGAAAGTGGTCCACCTGGAGAGACTTGCTGAGTTTGGAACAGCGAATGTGTCTGATCGGGACGATCAGACTTAGGTGGAGGGCAGTGTTGCGAAAATGCGAGGCGAATGTCAGATGAAAGAGAGAAGCCGATAACTAGTACGTTCTAGAAACGATAAAACAAGAACCTTCCATAGCGAACAATTCGATGCTTCTACGCTTTCGTCTGCGAGCAGCCGACTGCTATATAAAGGCGACACTCAGCTGCAAGTGAAGTTAGTGACAAAGTGATCTGGTTGGAGTTAACATCAGTGAAGTCGTAAAGTAAACGCGTTGGAGATTATATCTAAGTAGAGTAAATTGTGAAAGTTGATACTAGTGATTGTAAATAGTAAAGTGTATTGTAATTGAATTGTGAATTACGGAGTAAATAAAGGACATTAGATTAATTCTTTATAACGGAAGAAACTGCAAATTAAGTTGGCGAGTTTTATTTAACAATCCAGAGATCGTACCCGAAGGATTTAGGAAATATTCGAGGTTGATTTAGTAAAAGCGTAACACTATTTATTCCATAGAGTGCACGAAAAAAGCAACCCTGGTATTTTGTTATTTGAATTGAATTTGCCACAATCCTTCGACTGGGATATATATTTTTTTTAATATTGCCAGTTTTTATTATATCGAATCTTCTCTACAATTCAAATCTAACAGTGTCTGTATGATCACATGACATATACCCTACAAGTCGGAGGCAACAATTACACTGCTACAATCGATACGATTTCGCCGCATACCATTACATTCAAGAAAATATTAAATCTGCTTATTTAGTGTGCTAGAAAGGGTTGTGAGTATACACATTAACCCCCGCGGGTTTGGGGCTCAAGAATTTACCCGCGGTAAGGCATGCCTGTCGTAAGAGGCGACTAAAATCCAATAGTTCCCGCGACAGTCGGGTCTTTACACCGGAACGACCCGGATTTTTATCCGGCCAAGGACTGTCACTCCCGCAACATTCCCCAAAATTATTTGGGCAATTTTTTTGCGGTTACAACAAGAACAACAACAGTATACGCATTAATTCAAATATGAATTTTGAAAATTTTACTTCATTAACCTATTAAATTTTCAGACGCTAAGAGGTAACTTTAGATATTTTACAATATTTATTAATAAAATATTTAAATATTAACACAATTCTTTGTTACAGGTCGATTGACTGATTTCAAGCACCAAAAAATGAAGAAATAAAGTAAGTTAACAGCATCTGCAAATATTTGTGAAAATATGTATATATGCACGAATGTGTATGCTTGTTGCATTGTAGTTTTTTTTATAAACAACATCAAAATATTAATATAATTGTTTATTTATAACATGTTCCGGACCAGGAGCAGAATCTAAATAGTAAGAAACAAAAAGGTAAGTTAACAGCATTGTGCATACGTTCTTTCGGTTTTATTTTTGTTTAGCAATATAATTGTTTTTTTTTCAGGTTTCGTCATCTTTTGCAATATCAAAAGACTTGATATGGCCACCACACCACCGCATCGTTCGACCTTAGCTGAATAAACCTATACAGATTTGGAATGAGGACAAAATGTAAGTTTTTATTCTGTTAGGGATCGTTGCCAAATATGTGAAAACCGTGTTGAAATTATGTGAGGTTTGAATGGAATTGCGGGTTAATTATGGGTAATAAAGAAATTCAATGCTATTATTATATCTAATATGAAAAAGATTTTCAGAAGAATTAACATCGCAATCGAGATGAGGAAAGAATGTAAATTCAATGAAAAGGCGCGAATGTTAACTGAAAATTGTGCCCTTTTTGTAACCACCTCTTGGAGGAACTGCATTTGCAGCTATTACGCATTGAATTCACCACATTTCAGAAAACTTAAACACATCTTGGAGGAATTAGCCGACTTGCGAAAATCACACCCCGGGGTGAGCTCGTCTAATAACTTTGACAGCAAGAGAAGCAAATTGAGCGAGAATTAAAAAAAAATAGTACGTACGGTATTAGTTATTTTCAATTATGGAACAGTGTTCCTTAATTCAAACTGCGAGTAATTGAAAAATTATTTCTTGCACTGTGGGATGCGAACGAACGCCACTCCTTCGTATATCAATAAACAGAATCAGAAATATTTACTATTTTATTTTACATTTATTTTAATATGTATTTATATATGAATGGATTTAAATGTTATTAATCACGCACTCGTAAAACGAGAGTGAAAAGTTTTTTCTTTTTTGAATTTACAAAAACAAAATACACGCATCCAAAGCGAAATTATAAAAGGCGTAGTTGTCCCATCATGTGTGTGTTTGTCCTGGATTTCGAACTCGACGGATTTGTTTTTTTATTATTTATATTTGAATTTAAAGTCTTTTTCAAATTGAAAAATCACACTTGTAATTTAAGGATATATTTCAATTTGTAAGAAAAGTAATTATGGGAAAGTGCGTAATTAGTTTAAAGTCAAACGGGCAGCTGGATCGTTTTCCCATGTTTCAGAAGATTCGTCAATTCGTTCGCTGTGGTCTTTGTCGTGTGAAGTCCAACGGTGTGAAAACAGTTTTTTTGTGTAGATAATTTTTTTGAATAATGGCAGAGGGGAATGAACATAAGACTTATTAAAAACGCTATCCCATTCCCTAAAATAGTACCCCAAACCGTTAAAGAAAAAGTGATATTTTCTGGATACTGGATTGTTTAGGAAATGCACAAAGAGAGGGGTTGGATGAACCCCAGAAGAAATTGAAAAAATTCGAAAAGGTTCTATGGCTTAATTATTCGCTAAAAATTTGACCTTCCAGGTTTTCACATTGCATTTCATGAAACTCATGGAGGGGATATGTAAACAGCGACCTTTTATATAACATGTTTCTTTACACTGATCGTGTAATTTCTCTGTGGTTCCGTCTATTGTGACAAACTTATAAAGTTACGATGTTCAATGATAAACATCAAATAAATTTAAATACAATAGTCCTATAGTTATGTGCGTTCTCAGGAGGGCATTAACATACCTGCTCAAATGGTTTTATGAGTTGGGGAAAACCGGCCGCTACTAGCCATTCTGCTTCCAGTTCACCTTCTGCAACGCAATTAATTTTATCATTTATTATTCTATATAACACTGTATGTATGTATACATATATGTTTATAAATATATTTATTTACTAAACATATACATACATATGTATGTACATATGCACTTACCTTCATAATGTGTTTCAGGCTCATTGTTTGGCGAATTAGTCTGATATTCGTTTAGAAATTCACTGTAGTCCTGATCGGAAGTGTTGTCTAACGACGTATTGCTACTTGTCATCTTGACATGTTGACTTTTACTAATATTTGGAGAATATGGCATATTGTTGCTTTGATCACTTTTGGCGAAGAGGTTGGTCACAATTCACCAAGAAGACGAGAGTTTTGGCGAACTATTGCCCAGTAGAATAGATAGATCTTGCACTCCTCCAGCACCGTTGCTGTGTGGTCTTTTTTTCGTGAACTGAAGTCGTAACTCTACTCCATATTGGCACTCTTGTCTTCTCTTGTGCTGCTGTTTGATATATGAATAAGTTGTTGCTGCAAGAGAAGTAGAAAATGTTAAATTTATTGCCGTGCGTAGCCAGAAAGATTTTAACTTTTTTGTTGGTCAGAATATCTTTATAACTGTGCGATCTAATTTAAATAGAACGAAAAGAGCTTATATATTTGCTTTTCCAGAAGGAAGGACAGTCGAAATCAATAGATTCGGTTCAGAAGTACTCCGACTTTTTTTTTAGTGTTAAAGTAATATTTTAATCTTTTTCCTTAATATATATACTTTTTTTGGTTATCAAATTGGACGAACTTTTCTACGGCATTACACTCTTTTAAACGATTTCCTCTATTATCCTCCTGAGAATTGCTGTTTGAGCGTAGTACTTATCGTCAAAGAGGAGATACGTTCACGAATCGTTAATCAAGGATTTTGTACTAGACTTCTCTCTGACCAAAGGTGATTTAATATATACAAATATCTATAATTGGCGCTTCGGTCGAGATACACCTACTATTGGTCAAACCTGGACTCGAACCCTGGCCATCCCACGGTCTTTTGTTTAAATACACACGTGTTTAATTAACTTGCCATTAATCCGTGTTAATTTTAGATTTTGACTCTTTTTAAATTCCTTTTAAGGAAATATACTTTCGGTTACAGAATTGCAAGATCTAGTCTCAAAAGCAGTATTTAATTGTTTGTTCAATTTGTGGGGATAGTGACGGGCTGAATCGATTCATTAAATACCCTTCGCTATAAAGATACATTTTCCAATTTCATAGGATTTTTAATTGCAAAATTTCTTGTTTGAATAATTATTAATTATGACTCCAACTAAACAAAACAAATTTCACTGTATAATTGCCTCAACGAACGCGGTTCCGCTGTTACCAACTGTCACTAGTCAGCAACTCGCCGAAAGATCAAATGCAGCGAAACAATTGAATTTTTACACTCTGAACCGGATTTGTATTTTGTTCGAATTTCTCAATTTCGAAAAGATTGCCGTACACCTTTTTTTTATCGAGAGTCAGAAATCCAAATCGATATGAAATCGATTCCGATCGGATTTCAGAGAAAACTCCTATAGCCTTGCTTTTTTGGAGAAAGCATAACCTCATTTTGGTCAATAAAAACGTTTCTGCGCGTGCTTTTTAGAGCATGTATTTATACCTAAAGAGAAGGATACTAGTTGTTAACAAGAACACTACTAGTTTCCTTTCTGAAGCGGATTATGACGTGATTAAAAATGGGTCACTTACGACAACATCGAGCGCAAACAGTCGTAGTCAAAGCTCGGGGAAGAAGCCCAGATGGTGGCTAAGACCGGATGGATGGCCAGGAAAGTTTTGCTGTGTGTTTGGTGGGATTGGCAAGGAATCATCTACACGAGCTGCTCCCCTATGGCCAAACACTCAATTCGTCCCTCTACTGCCAACAAATGGATCGCTTGAAGGCAGCGCTCATCCAGACGAAGCTATCAAGACAACGCCAGGCCACACATGTCTTTTGTGACGCGACAGGAACTCCAGGAGTTCGGATGGGAGGTCCTGATGCACCCATCTTATAATACGGACCTGGCACCAAGTGACTTTTCCTGTCCATGGCGAACGCGCTTAATGGTGAGTAGTTGGCCTCAAGAGAGGCCTGTGAAAATTGGCTCTTCGAGTTTTTTGCCTTCTACGAGAGGGGTATAATGAAGTTGGCATCTCGTTGACAACAAGTTTACGAAAAAAAAACGGCGCAATCGGACAAATGTACTCAAAGTTATATAATATAATATATATATTTATATATATTAGCCTCTACACATACAATAGTGATGCATCCAAGCTATTAAAAATACTTCTAAAAATTGAAATGTATTTGTAATGCAAGAATGCACTTAACATTCGAACACTAAAAATTTAAGTAGGAAAAAGTTGGGAGTTTGAAAAGTTTGTCACACGACAGCACCATACGAGAATCTGACTTAATTACCCACAAACGAGCCAGAGCCACACGCATTCACTAGGCATGCCAGCGATCAGGCCTATCGACCTGCCAGCCAAGCAGCCATACAGCCATATGCATACATATATACGAGAGTAGACTTGGCCAAGCAAGTGATATGCATAAGCTCAGTATTTTATTGAACACTCCGAATGTTGCCTTGATCAATAGGTTTGGCAAATTACCTGAGTGAGCACATATTTATACACATATACATGTATATATGTATATATGTATATATTTACATATACACATAGAAATGGCTTGCCCATATTTACGAGTACATATGTTAATACTCTTTGTTAATGAACAGATTAATTTATTTATATGTATGTATGTATGCATGAGTATATACGGATGTATAGTGAGTTGTAGTATCAAAATTACGTATATACATGTATATTTGGTTGAAGTATTTTATCTGCTTTTTACCTTTCTACAGTTTTGAATATTTTTCAGTTTTTTTTTGTGTTTTTGTTTTGTTTTTCGTAGCTGAACATTATTCATTTTCGGGGCGCTACATATGCTAATGTCGCTTTCATGTTAACCGATTATGAAATTTTGAGTGAATTTAATCAAGTGAAATTGTCGTGACCCCAAAGTTTACAAGGCTTGTATCGGTCGCGTTTGTATGTCGAAATATATACATTTTGTATGTATCAAGATAAATGCATTCCTGAGCCGCCGTGTGAAGCGTTCATTAACTTACTGTGCCTATATGGGACGATTAGCTTGTTAAGATCGTATTAAATATCGTATGCACATAGGTATGTATGTAAGAGCTAATGCATTTGTGTAGTTATTCTAGTCCGTAGAAATTAATTTTCTCGAAAAGCAGAACTTTCTAATATTAATTTTGTTGAATAAATATGTATGAATGTGTACGATGAACATGAGGTAAAGCATTAACAAAAATTCAGAATCCAATCAATTTTTACTTAATGATAAATCATGAAAGCTGCTCGCAACAATAAATTCCTCTCGTTTCGCTTTCGTCACCGTTGTATACATGAATATGCGCATACACACATATGTATATGTTTATTAAATGTAATCGGCGCTTTGAAACATATCTTCCCAAAGTCCTTCTACAGTTTGAAGTGTGGAGTTTATTCTAAGGCAATGATATAATAAACCCATGACCCTAGGCATGGTAGCATGCATTGCTAACTTCTGTTTAACAATGGCCGCTGACATCGTTAGACTTCTATTACATTATTTCCAACTGGATGACGCGATGATGCTTGAAGTTCAACGAGGTTAAGTCAACTTAATTACTATCGCAACAATGAGATCTCACATGTCCACAAATCGAATTAAACTACACCCCGATGCGACTCTGCGAAATCACCTAGAGAGGCCACAGGAATCAAATTTCGTAGGATGCATTAGAAGCTAATTCGTCAATATTCTCCCTCCAAGAACAATAAGCTCTTCTTCAAATATGGTATTCAAAAGTACGGAGATGCCTCGAAATCCAATTTTGTTATTCTTCAAATGTTTCAATTCTAACCGTTAAAAATTCTGTTAATTGCTCATATGTGGCGCCCTGGCGAACTGGACGCTAATCTATTGACACCAATACAAGTTTTCTTACGGATGCCTAGTTCAATAGTTTATGTAGCAAAGAATTTTTATTAAATTATTCATGAGGATATTCCACAAGACATATACCTTACCTAATGGCAGAGAATGCTAACCCCTCTAACAGGCCTATTCTGTCGAGGTAACAGAATTCACTTTGGTATTAAAATTTACCATTCAGTAAACTTTTTTATCTTTTCGTATTCTGAGCTCACTGTCACCCTGTAAATTTTTGTTACCAGCGAAATGGGAGGTAACAAAGAATCTACTATTTGATTTTGTGTTGCAAGTTTGAGAAAAAATAAAAACCAAAATGGATAGGTATACTTTGGACCTGGAATTCATTGAAGATGAAGAAAAAAGTTTAAAAAGGCGTATGCTAAGAAGTTGCGAGAAACAAATGACCCTTTTAATTTGGAAACTTACGTTACCGGTAACAATGAGGATAGGCTTGTAAGTGTATTTTTACATGAAAATCAAACTTCCTCATAAAAATCCTTCTGCCGCTTAGAGGCGACTTAGAATAAACTGAAGGCTTGGATTTTTTGGAAAACATATACCACAAATTGGTGGATGAGCTCGGCCGAAACATTTGTGATTTGTCTTCAATTCTTGAACAGTACACAAAATATTACACGAGTAGATTGCTGTGGGTGCAAGATATTAAAATTAAACTATACTATTGACGTTGCAATCGAGATGTGAATAGGCCTCAAGTCAGTCAGTCCTAAGAGAAACTGCGTAGAAAATTTTTCAAAATTTATAAGTCTCCCTTCTATCATCGTTCTCCACATCAAATCATAATAAATCAAAGCAAAATTTCTGGCCAAATTAGACGCAATTTTCAATTCTACTTTTTCTATTATTGTTATAACGTAAAACATGAATTTTCATAATTCATAAGTTCATTTTTCTTCGCTAATTACTACGACTATCAGCATACTCGTACAAATTATTGCAAAAGCAGCTGGGATGTAATAAGAGATTTTCGAGATTTTTTTTGTCAGCTGCTTTTTCTTTTCCATTTTCGAGTAAATCATAAAAAGTATTGAAATTATATTTTAAAACTCGATGCACTTCAGTGTGCTACAAAATTTAGCTCGAAAGCCGATCGAGATGCTGATTGTTAAATCAAACTTTGTATACTTTTACGTATATATGTATATATGTATGTATATAATTTATAAATATGTCAGAAATAATCTCACCCAATAATTTTTTTTGCTCTGAGTTTTGTTCTGAAAAAGAGAATAATAATAATAAATAAAACAGCAAATTAGATAACAGTAAATCATGTCTTACTAATATGAGTTTTAACGTATTTGAATACATTTTATTTATTTATTTATATTTTTTTCAGTTTACTTCTTTTTATAGATTGAAAATTATTTAAAATTAACTGTGAACGATTTCTTACTCGTTAGAAATTTCAATGTGAATGCCCTCGTTCTTTCACTATAACACT